TGACTTTGGAGACTTCTCAAAGCACTTCACACAATAGAATGTAAGGTGGATTGACTGTATATTTTATGGACAAAACGCGGCAGCCAATTGTCCCACAAACAGTCGTGGATTGAGTGACCAATTTAAAATTATTATTTTTTTTGAAGGAATTTTGAAGAAAGAGACAGAGAGATAAAGATAGACAGAGAGTGAGCCACAGAGACAGACAGACAGACAGACAGACAGACAGACAGACAGACAGACAGACAGACAGACAGACAGACAGACAGACAGACAGACAGACAGACAGACAGACAGACAGACAGACAGACAGACAGACAGACAGACAGACAGACAGACAGACAGACAGACAGACCTCTCTACCCAGTAGTTAGGGATGTCCTTGGCACAGAGACACAGAGAGAGGAGTGAGAGACACAGAGACAGAGAGATTAAGTCCTTTGTCATCTTGATATCTGAGGTTTTAGTCATAAATATATATATATATGAAGTTGTTTTGTTGAATGCAAGTTGTTTTGTTGCAGTTTGTAAAAGAGTATGCGTGATATTATACGAGAGGTTTTGAAGTCCAAGTATGAGGTGCACTACGTCATATGACTATCCACTGTCAATTTGGAAAGATTCTTAGCCATGTATTACGTACCACTGTTGATTCTATGTTGGATGTCATTTATTAGGTTATTTTAATATGTATTCTTCTTTTGCTTCCATTTATTAATTCCATTAGTTTTCCAATTACTGGCGGCAAGCTAATGGGTCTGTAGTTGCAGGGGTGGGTTTGTCATCCTTCTCAAATGCAGGAACCACATTAGCCAGTTCCCAGCTTCGGTAATTTATTCTACCAAAGCTGAAATGATAATCCTTGCATTCATTTTTTAGAAATGAAACTATCAACTGCAACAAATTGCTATAAACTTGAACATTAAAACCAGCCAAATGTGTCAACCAGTTGCTACTTTTTCAAAAACACTGTAATGTTTTTCCATTGTTAAAATAAATAACTTTCCGACAGTAAACAGCGCAGCAATTTCAATTCATGATTATATTTTTTGAAATGGTCCAATGCGAAGCTGGAAAAGCTACTGTATTGCAGTTATAAGATAGCCCAAAATTAGAGTTGTAATATAAAAGATTAAAAAATTATCTCTGAAGAATTCCATTACCTTAAATCGAAAATAACCATTTTGAATGAACACAATTCCAAGATCAGCATAATTACTATTTGCCTTTACTATAAGATTTCTACTCCCTTCCTCAACAATTCCAAAGATTACAATTTGGATGAACAACAAACAAATGCCCATCAACCACAGCCACCACTAACTGAAGGGGCAGGTAAAGGAATAAGGTGGGTAGAGGAGTGGGGTGTATGAAAGAAGCCCTGTCCCTCATCTGATCTCATCCCTCCCTACTGTCCTCCCAATACAGCACCAAGCTGTTTTTTAAGTGAAAATTATCATTATTGTAAATCTGAGATATTTTGATGTCCAACGCCCTTTATTAAAAAAGTTTGACTCAAAGCAGAGTGCTGTAGACAGGTTTGGGAATATAACCATGACTATTGAATAAACAATGCGATGTAAAGAAACAAATCAAATATATATCCCAAGAACAATACTTGGAATCACCAAACCCACTGAAGTCACATTAACAAATTCCTGGCATCTTGTTAAACTATTATATTACTTTATACTTTTGGTGAAGTGTTGAAACAAAGTATATTACGGTGTCAGTACCACAATACCAATGATTCTAACTATCTCATCTTTTGAACCATGTTTGTCAAATTCTAACTTTACTCTTTACCTAAATATTCACAAATAAAGTCAAACAAATAGATAGGGTTAGGTTGACGATTCTGACTTTGGCTTTCAGTTAATATTCTGCGACTGGTTTTATTTATGATTAGATTGTGTTTATTTTTTAAAATAGTTTTTTGGGGGAAAACAAAATGTTTGAGGGGGAGGGAAGTACAATTTTCATACTGAGATTTTGTTAACCATTCATTACAAGCAGGTTTTCAGTAAATTAATTTCTGAATGCACTATGACCATCAGTGAACACTTTGTATTTTGGCTTATCTTTTGCAAAGTTATGTTTTATCGTGGTGTTGCAACATTGTATTATTTTATCTCTCGTAAAATAAACCTTTTTTTGTGACGTTACAATGTTACTTTGAATTTGATGTTAGTACCAATCTAGAGCTTCTCCTTTTCCAATGTAACGCATGAGGCCCTCAATGCAAAATACCAATCCATTGTCACAAGCACTCAGGGGAAGGACAGAATATGGTAGCATTATGAAACAGGCTATAATACAATAATAATCCTTGGTATAATTTGATATAGCACTTTCGTGTCAGGTAAATGTCTCAAACGCCTTCACTTGTCAAGTCAAGTAGCTGCGATTTTTGCGAATGAACTCAGCAGCCAATTTGTGCATAGCAATGTCCCACAAACAGCCATGAAGTGAGTGATCAATTTCCGATGCCTCTTTTTTCCTTTCTTTTGCAAACATTTGAGTTTACTTGAACACCCTAGCTCCTCTCTACACAAACTGCAGCCCATCCAGAACTGTGCCGCTCCTGTCCTCTCCCTCACCAGGCTCCATAAGCCTATCATTCCCATCCTTGCTCAGCTCCACTGGCTCCCCATCCCCCCAAGAGATCAATTTTAAAATTCTCACCATCACTTTCGAATGTCTCCATAGCCTAGCCTACTAAGTATAACTCAAGTTAGAATGCATTGCTCTCCCCAGGCCCTCTGCAGTGGGTTCTATTTGATTTAAGGTTTGTTCAAGCCGCCTTTAATTTGTTTCTTAGGTTAAAAGTGTGTACATCAGGGTGACAGGAATAGAACAACTTGGTTAACTGTATTGAAGAACTCTGGGATGCTAAGCTGCGTGATGGGCGCTATATAAAGGCAAGTTGTTGTTGTATTTGTGTAGGTGCAGCTTATCAGAACTAACCAACTCTTTCTATTAGAGATTATGATGAATTATAAATCAGACTAGACAATCGAACCAATCAGCAGTAAAAAAGCACAAACAATTCTCCAAAATAGCATTAGTCATTCACTTCATAATTGTTTGTGGGACACTCTACTGTACGCAAATTGGTTGATACGTTCGTCCACAATAGAATCAGTCACTCCACTTTACAGTGTGTGATTCAAAGCACTTAACGTTTCAAAGCACTTCAAAGGAAATGCTTTGAAACATCCTCCCAACATGTAAGGATTATTATTATAAAATCTATTTATGTGTAAATTGTGAACAGAACCCGTGATTCAGCAACAATTTGTTGCTAGTACCCAGTAATTATGTATCTTTTACATCTTTGAATAATAATAGTGACTACAGTACAAAAAAAATGTTTAGCCTAATTTAGTAACTACAACACCATTGAGGTTCTTTTATATATCATATTCAACCCTTGGAGGACCTGCCTCAAAGCTAACTGTACCGTGATATCATCCGTCTGGTGAACTGCTTAACTGAAAACCTAATATAACACTTGTTGAGGTTCCATGCTTTACTTTTTCTTAGAAAGTTGTTACCATCCAACCTTCTGTTCGCTAGCCATTTTCCATCAAGAATATCATAATCCTTGCATTTGATATGGCGCTTTATCAGATCAAAATCCTCAAAGCACTGCACAGAGTTTTCTGTGAAATGTAGTCACTGCATTTGTGGCAGCCAAACGTGTCCCACAAAAAGCCAGGAGGTGGAAGATCTATTTAACTGGAGAATTGTTAGCCAGGGGAAACTCAAATCTCTTTTCAAGTAATACCATAGGTTCTTTAACATCTACCTGAACAGACAGACAAACCCTCCGTTTAATGTCTCATCGGAAGCATGGCATTTCTGCCAATGCAGCACCCCCGCAATACTGCACTGGAGTGTCCGACTAGAGCATAGACCGAATGAGCTTGAATTCCCCAACATAGGACTTGATATCACAATGTTCTGACCAGAGTGCTCCCAAATGAGCCAGGCTGAATCCACTATAAATTGAAAATTTCTGGCTACAGCATCATTTGTGGAGTCCTGTAGCTCAGTGGTTAGAGCACTCGCTTTCCAAGCGAGAGACCTGAGTTCAATTCCAGGTCAGGGAGAAACCTTGGGCAAGTTTCCTTATTCCACACGCCTAATAATAATCCCTCCAAATAAACAAAAACAATAATAAAATGGGTCATTTTCAATCCACGACTGGTTGTGGGACATTGCTGTGCGCAATTGACTGCCGCGTTCACCCACAAATATACAATCAATTTACTTTACAGTATATTCTGTGAAGCGCTTTGAGACGTCCTCCCGACGTGAAAAGCGCTATATCAAATGCAAGGATTATTATTATTATTATTATTATTTATATATACTGTGTTAATATGTAATTTCATGTCTACAAGACACAGTCACTACACTGTGAATGGGTTTGACACAATCTTCCCAACGTGAAAGGCACTATATTAAATGCAAATAATAATACTATAATAATATCATAATAATAATCATATAATATTGCGCTTCTTTTCTGGTGCAATGTTCTTATAGTATTCAATGCTTAAAAGGTTGACAGCACCTGGTTTATTTGCAAATAAAGTGCTAGATGTCAATCTGAGGAACACTGTGACACACACCTCTATTTCTTAACCAATGCAGGACCTGTGTAAAATGTGTGGTTCGATTCATGACTGATTGTGCAACATTGCTGTGCACAATTAGGCTGTTGGGCTATTTGCCTACAAATATACAGTCACTCCACTTCATAATAAAATCCTGTGAAACACTTGGGGACGTCCTCCTGAGGTGAAAGGCCCTGTACCAAATGTAGATATATGAGGGTGGGGTGTTGAAGGAGGGAATACAGATCCTACAGACAGTTATGAAACAATGATGGCAGCTTTGAAATTCCTTTAGAGAAAGAAGTGACAGTAAGGGAGTCACCTCTTGTTCCATTAAAGCAGCACATCTACAAATGGTTAGAACAAGCAGCTTACCTCTCTCAGACTGCAGAGACCACCTAAAGGCAGAGTTCTCTGCTCCTGGTTCTCTTCTCTGATCCTCCCTCTGATCTCAGCACAGAAAATCCTATCTTTTTTTCCCCTACAGTATAAAAGCTCAGGATTGACAGCCCTTTTTAACCCACCTGCTAAACCCAGAGACAAGAGGGTCTGGGACTAGTGTCCAGGTCACTTCTCAGCTCCCAGTAAACAGCAAACAACCAGATACTGTAACCATATGAATGACGCCACTGTGGATTTAGAAATGATCCTGTCCTATAAATAAACCCTCAAAAGAGAGAAAAAAAATAAATGACTTCAAGTTTTCTTTTGCATTTTAAAAAAAAGAGTATTTTGAGAGTTTTAACAGATCCTCGGGTCAGCCACCTCTCCCCAGGACAAGGATCTGATCAGAACAAGAGGAGCACCAACAGTCAGCCTACAGGCCTCTCTCTCTCTCTCTCTGTCTGTCTGTTTCTGTAAGATTAGTGCATCATCCCCCCCTTCTCAACACTCAGCAACACACACTGCCTTGGACCAGCCCACTTGCTTCTAAGGGCTTGTCCTGTTCTCCCTGACCTATGGCTGGTCCCTGATTTAAATGCAAAGGAGGAGACTTGTGTCTCAACTTGCACTTTCATTCGACCAGCCGGCAACATCTTTTAATAATAATACTCCTTGCAATGTGATATTACAATAATAATCCTTGCACATGGTATGACATCTGTCGTGTCGGGAAGTCCCCAGGCGTTTCATAGGATTTATAGTGAAATACTGTGGCTGTGTATTTGTAGGCAAAACTCTATACCTCATTATAATGCACTGTTATAGCATTGCATTATAATGGACAGTGAATAATAATCCTTGACTTTGATATAACTCCTTATCATGTGTTTGAGACGTCTCAAAGTGCTTCACAGAATATATTGTAAGGTGAATTGACTGTATATTTTGTGGGCAAAGCCAAAACAGCCACGGGATTTTAACATTTAAAAATGTTTAAAAAAATTAAAAAGCCATGATCTTATTAAATGGCAGGGCAGGTTCGAGGGGCCGAATGGCCTACTCCTGCTCCTACGTCTTATGGTCTTACGGGATTGTACGCAGCCTGCAAGAAGCTCAACTCACGCAATTTTCTGATAAATGGTTGCCACACTCATCACGTCCTGTGTGATAAGCATGACGTTATGTGCAAATCTTTTGGTGCAAACTTACGTAGACCACAGGAGGTGATGTTAGTGGTGGCCAATAATGCCCACTCCCACCCCTGCCCTCTAACCCTCCTGATCCCACCTCCCAGCTTGGGTCCAGCTCCTGACTGCCCAGTGCACTGGGACGTCTTTCCCACGTGAATGGTTCTATACAAGTGTAATTTGTTGTTGTTATTGTTGTTGGCCCAATGACCCAGAAGTTGGCCTTTGTTTAGTGTGTGGAAAGCCATAAACCAGCCATGAGTCCACAGCCATAAACCAAATTTTTTTTTGGTCAGTCGGCCGTCTGACACATGCAGAAACTCATCACCATGCTTAAGAGTATCCAAATCAATGCTTACATTGATTGGTGTGTTTCAAAATGTATTAAACATCATCTGAAATGTTTATAGAATAAGAAGTTCTTTTTGTTATGTTTATAAAATGATAAATTATTTGGGGAACTGCTGCTACATAACAAAACTGCTAGATGGAACAGAGTATCGTATCAAGGCTGAGAAACAAACTTGTTTCTCATCTACTAACTGGATAAAGAGAGATCAATTCGGGAAGAGAATCATAAGAGACAGGAAGTTGGAAAAGTGGAGTTTCAAACCATATTCCAGTTTTTAAAGAAGGAAGATCAAGACAAAGACTTAGACAGCTGTCAACATCTTTATCGGCGTTCATCAGCTGGCAGCAGTACAGCGGTACCTGAATATCTTTCATTGATCGATCGGACAGCATTGCCTGAATACCTTTTGGTGGGCATTAAATTAGACATTCAATTGGACTTTACTCCTCCATCTTTTCCATAACATTTGGTTCAGTCAACCTTAATCGTTGTGAACAGTACGTGGATATGTAGTCCTTTCATTTGATATAGTGCCTTATCACGTCTTCGAGACGTCTCAAAGCTCTTCACAGAATATACTGTAAAGTGAATTGACTGTATATTTTGTGGGTGAAACGTGGTTGCCAATTGCTCACAGCTGTGTCGTGGATTGAGTGACCAAATTATTATTATTTTTATAAGGAATTATTCGCACCGGAAAAGCAATTCGCCAGTCGACTAGCAATCGGGTTCCTACTTACTGCTAGGTAAACAGAGGCGTGTGGAGTAAGGAAACTTGCCCAAGGTTTCGCCCTGCCTGGAATTGAACCCAGGTGTCTCGCTTGCGAGGCGAGTGCTCTAACCACTGAGTTACAGGACTCCACATAATGTATACATAATAGTGTAAGCATTATTCTGTTGTTTTTTAACTAACTATTATTACTCTGAATTAATAACTTTTTTTAAATATAAGATTTTTGTCAGTCTTTACTTCACCGCAGGGTTAAAATGGACATTTTACATCAAACTGAGATTTCCATGCATCCCAACTACACATGGAAATCCCAGAGATAAATTGTTGGAATGGAATGCGCACTCTCTCCCTGGAGGGACGCATCCTGCTTACCAAATTCTGGAAAGTATTAGGCGCAGGGTGACTAGAGCCAAGGTTTAGGGAGCCAAGGCTTAGGAGTGTTGGAGTACTGCTGGATTCTAACCAGCTTAAACTGAAATAATAATCCTTGCATTTGATATAGCGCTTTTCACGTCTTCTCGATATCTCAAAGCGCTTCACAGAATAGACTGTAAAGTGAATTGACTGTATATTTGTGGGTGAAATGCGGCAGCCAATTGTGCACAGCAGTGTCCCAAACAGTCGTGGATTGAAAATGACCAATTTATTATTGCTTCGTTTTGGAGAGATTATTATTAGGCGTGTGGAGTAAGGAAACTTGCCCAAGGTTTCGCCCTGCCTGGAATTGAACCCAGGTGTCTCGCTTGCCAGACGAGTGCTCTAACCACTGAGCTACAGGACTCCACCACTATTCTCATTCAACTTCACTGGCTTCTTTCCCCTAACGGATTGAGTTCAAGATCCTCGTTCTCACCTTCAAATGCCTTCATGGTCTTGCCCCATCCTATATCTGTGGATCTCTTCGCTCAGAAAATGCTCACTGGCCTGTTTTATGTCCCCCACTCCACTATTGGCAGTCGGATTTTCAGCCATTCTGCCCCCACTCTCTGGAACTCCCTCCTTCCCCTTGTTCAAGGTCCATCTCAACACGTTTGACTTCAGTCATCTTTCCCTGCTCTCCTCTTTCAGCTCCCAACCCTAGCTCTGGTGCCCAGCCAGCAGTGTCAAGCACTTTCAGTCCTCCTGATGTGAAAAGCGCCATATAAATGTAAATTGTATTGTATTCTAATCATAATCTTGAATGCACTTGTCCTTAAATCCCCCTAGCAGTGTAAAGAGTTTGCCATGCTCAATTCTCCCTTTTTTAATTTTTTTTTAAAAAGTTTGGCTTTCGTATCATCCCTCAACTTTCTCTGCTCCAACAGGAAGTCTCCAAACCTCACCCACTTCTACTCATTGCTATATCCTTTCATCTCCGGTATCATTCTCGTGAACCCAATTCAATCCAGATAGTAGCTGTTGATGTGCACTCTGGTGCTCCAACTTTCAATAGCCGTGTATGGAACTATGAACAGAGAGATATTTCATAGTGGTGTATCAGAGACAAGTTGGAGCCTAACAAGTGTGACCAAAGTTCATAAGTATGAGGTGCTGACAGAAGAGTATCTTGATGCTAAAGAACAAAGTGGGACTTGTTTGAAGTGCAGTCCTTTATTTTACCCATTAGCTTGCTCAATTACAGCCATGCATTTCTGAGCAGCACTGTGATGTGGTGGGCCCTTACAGTGTGTCTGCTTTCCACAGACTGCAGTTTGTGTTATTTTCTGCCTTATTTTCATGCGGAATTGTCTCAAAAAGTAGTATGAATCAGGATTGAGAAGTGCAAGTCTACTTTGAGAAGATAGTTTGTCTGCTCTGCTTGCCTGCCCCTTTCTAAATGCAATGGTTGATTTGAGCTTTGGTCTTTCAATGTTCTTGGGTAGGTCAATGAGCCCTCTGACCAGCTTGCAAGGGAGTCTCAAAAAATATACAGTTAATTCACTTTGCAGTATATTCTGTGAAGCGCTTTAAGACGTTTCGAAGACATGATAAGGCGCTATATCAAATGCAAGGATTATTTTATTATTATTTTTTATTGGCCAAAGATACAGTCCTGTAATAAGCGCTTTTATAATATTAAAAATCAAACCAAGGTTTGGAACTCTGTGCACGCTTTGGAATTCTCCTCAGCCTCCGGCTAATGTAGATAGGAGCAGGAAGCATAAATTACGTCTCCCGTTTCTGATCATTTGACTGCTAGAATCATGCTGTTTTGCTTCCATTAATATAAACAGTATATAGTACTCTTTCTGGCCACTAGGAGGAGTTCCAGGGCCATTTTCTTTGGGAAAGTAAGTTGTGAAATTGAAAGTGTACAACATCTCCGTGCTGGACCGTGGAAAGTTTTTTCTTCCGCGCCTTTTAAAAGAAAACAGTTGAAGAGTCATTTATATAAAAAATAATAATAATTTGGTCACTCAATCCACGACTGTTTGCGGTACACTGGTGTGCGCAATTGGTTGCCCCATTTCGCCCACAAAATGTACAACCAGTTCACTTTACAGCATATTCTGTGAAAGTCTTTGAGACGTGGCAAAGACGTGATAAGGTTCTAAATTAAATGCAAGGATTATTATTTTTATTATTATCTGTTTCCAGACCTCATTATCTACAAGCTATGTATTTTATTTGGTTAGAATTAAAATTAGGGTTGTTACATATCCACTTGCAGCCTGGACAGCATAGATGTGAGCTGGATGCTGGAAAACTTCTAAATGTATTTAGGCCCTAAGGTTGGTTATTATTATTGCCTTTTTGATAAAGTTACGACGCTAAAAAGTGCACATAAAAAGATTTAAAATATTTGAATGTTATTCACTTGAATGTTGTTTTAAAGGCTTGCTGACAGTTAATCATTATTCAATAATCAAACGTTTCCAGATTTAGAACTGCATTAAATAAAAAAGTTTTGCTTCATGTGCCAGTGGGAATAGTCATTACTATTGAGTGTCACAGTGCCCAGTGTAAAACATTCAGTCACGTCTTAGCTTTTAAGAAACCAAGCAAATTTCAGCCCTTTATTTTCCAGCGTTTCATGCGACTGTGTGGATCAAAGTGCAATGGGAAGGAATGACTACATGCAGAGTCCTAGGATCAAATGTGGTCACACAGCAAAGTAAGTGGTGAAATATATTTCAGTAGCAGAGATCAAACTGTTGCAGTCGAGACACTCAGTCATTCACAATTTTTTTCCATGCACTCAGTCTCTTAAAATCAAAAAAAGATTTGTGTGGTTTTATGGAGAGAGAATGTTCTATCAGCATTTTAATTCCTGTACAGTACCTTTGTTGTGAATATGACAGTATTTGATTAAAACTGAAAGATCTACCATTGACGTATTGCTCAGATCATTACCAAAAAAAATTTAATTTCCAGAGGTGGGGGAGCAAAATTGCGATATGTAACTTCAAATCCAGTGTTAATATCATCTGTGATAATTGTCTATTGACCAAAAAATGGGTTAAAAGCAGTCAATACTTATCACTGCCCTGGGGGTGAATTCCCAACCCCCTCCCATTTCTGACCCCAAGGCCAGTCATAACTACTGACTGCTTTTAACCACATTTTTAGTCAATGAGATGATTAATTATCACCGGTGATAGTATCACGTAACATAATTTTGGACCCTTTATTATCTAAACTTAACAGTCCTTGAGAGGACCGAAAAACTTTTAAAAGATTGCTTGCAACATTGTTTTATTTTCTCTGAACCTGAAGTTCCTACCATAAACATTTATGACTTTGTTATAAATAATCTGCCAGGATGAATAAAATACAGTGAATAATGCCTCCTCTATCACACTGCCCACATTTTGTTGTTATTATTCTGGCCTCACGTACTGAATGTTTTAAATTCCTCCAGTACTTAGAAATGCACTGTATACGTATTTGTGTCTAGAAACATATATGTGGCATAACACAAAATATACAGTCCACAAAATATTCGCCCGCAAAATATAGTCATTACACTTTACAGTATATTCTTTGAAGAGCTTTAAGACATCTCGAATTCATGAAAAGGTGCTCTATCAAATGCAAGGATTATTATTATTGTATTATTATAAATGGTAGATGATTTATTTTATTGTGTTGAAAAGTAAGTTTCATATTTGTTTACTTTCTCATTATTTTGTTTCATTTAAATTGTAAAATCAGGTGGCGTTGGTGGTCTGAAAGATGGAAACGATAGCATTTAGCGGAAGGAAGCAGCTGTGTTTGGAAAGGGCAATGATGGCCTTTGAAAGGGAAATAAAGGAGGACAGACTCCACCGCACCAGCAGCCTCAGGGGACTGTAGGGCCGGGTTTATTTGAAGCCTGCTGCAGTGTAAACATTGTATTACCTACTTTGTACATTCTTATGTTATTCCAATCAAAATAATATCATCCTCTCATTTTTCATTCACTTATTCAATTCATTCTGTGTGTGATCTCAGACCTTTATGGCATGCACAAAAGCTTCTATTTGTCTTCCAAGTCTTCCAACAGATTACCTCTCCAAATCTGCGCTGTGCTTTGTTGCTGCAGTTTGTGAGCACAATTTTAAATTTGAAGTCAGTGCTTTTGAGAAAAGTACATGCAGCAGTAATGCCAATACATCAGGTTAGTGCAGAACACCTTCAAACCTGAGTGAGAAAATATAATCTAGTATAAGTAATCAATTCAGATCAATGGGAATGTCTAATTTGGTTCAGATTCAGTTCAACATTCATTGTACAGAGGAAGTCATCTTTCACCTGCTGGAGCCCCTACCTTTGTCAATGGCCTATGTTTGTTTTTAGGATCTCCCCCTAGATAACATTACTGTGTGATTGTTTGCTCCTTCAGACTGAACTTTAAAGGGCCAGTATTCAACAAAAATGATCTGGTAATTTNAAAAAATATATCTGTACAATACACTGATATAAATCATGCCAAAATGCATCAAATGTTTGATACAATCAAATATGGTTTGGATTTTGTTAATCACCCAGTTACGTAAACTTTGCATTTGATATAGCACCTTATCATGTCACTGAGACATCTCAAAGTGCTTGAAAGGATTTTAGTGTAAACTATAGTTACTGTGTATTTGCAGGCAGTTAATTTGTGTACAACAGTGTCCCAAAATCCCATGAAGTGAATGACAAATATTTAAGCATTAGACCAAACTGATTAGATATGCTGTACAGTCAAAAAGATTGCCTTCTATAGTGGCCTTGGAGAAAATAGACTGAATATTTTCCTTGTCTTGAAAGCCTATTTAATCTTTGTGTTTCCCTACACATTATAACATTTAACCTGCTGCTCAATGCAGTACACCCATTAATGAACTGTTAGTGGGCAACTTGTTGCGATTAGTAATATTTAAAATACGTCATGATTATTGTCATTTCAATAATAATAAATAATAATAATCCTTGATTTAATGTACCACCAAATGGCTTTGCCAAAACATCTGATAGCACTTCACAGGATTTACTGTAGACTTCAGTTCTTGTTTGCATTGTTGCATGTTTAAATCTCACAATCTTAATAAGTAGTAAGATTAACTAATGCAGGTAGTTAATTTATTAAAAAGAGCTGACTGAGCTCAGTGATTATTAGGTATCTTTGAGTAGCTGTTTTGTATAGTTACCAGTGATCTCCCATCCTAAAAACATCTGATATCTTAAAGCAATAATGGTTGAATTCATGCATACTTCAGGCTGAAGTGGTAGTTGAAGTCATAACCTGCTCAATTACACAAATAACAATGTGTTCATTGTAACTTGCAAGTGACAAAGTGTTTATAAACTAACAGATCGCAACTGATCTATCTGTCTTTATATTTAAAACATTTTCACTATTAGAATAATTATGTGAAAGTATCACAACATTATGCTCTGCATGTCTTTCTCATCCCCAGTTGAGATTTTAGTTTATATTTGATTTAATAAGGATTCAGTATCTAATATTTGCTTGGTTTGTTTTTTGATAGAAAACACACATACAAAAGTTTGTAAACTTCAAAGATATATTTGCTGAGGAGGGAGGTGTATAAGCCAAAACATACACCTAGAAGTTCATAGAGCATTGCTGTGTGTAAACTGGCTGCAATATTCGCCTACAAATACAATCACAACACCTTACAAAAAATCCTGGGAAGCGCTTTGAGACATTTCAATAATGTGATAAGGTGCTATATCAAATACAAGAATCACTATTATTCTTATCATAACACTGTTCATATACTTAATGTTGATCAAACTGTTTTAATTCTAAATTGAGAAGTTAGGATAGTTGCTTGGGGTAGCGGTTTGACATAGCATACAGTATTCTGGTCAAGGATTATTATTGTCTGACCCACAAATGATGCTCAGCTATATCAAGACTTGAGTAATGATAACCAGCTTCTGAATAAATCAAAAGAAAACCAAGTTCATCTCCCTAAATGCATATATTTTTAAAAAATATTTCTATGACAGAGGATACCAAGGAACAACTGGAAGACTATTTGTTTTCTTGGCTTCCAAATAATGTTTTCTTTCAAAGATTTCATGTTGATGTTTGTCATGAAACAATAATATTGCAAAAAATGGTTCTTTATAAGGTAAGCTTCTGATCATCAGGAAAGCCATAGAATGGAGATAAGCTGCTTCACTGCAATGAGTGGAGTGTGTGTGTGTGTGTGTGTGTAGGGGGGGAATCAGAGGACAACTCAACTATACCAACAAAGTAGCAGCAACAGAAAATGAGAGAAAATTAACAACTCTCCAAGCCAGGAATGGCAGCTCACAGAATTCTTGGAAACGACATGATGATAATAATAATCCTTGTATTTGATATAGCGCTTTTCACGTCTTCAAGACGTCTCAAAGCCCTTCACAGAATATATTGTAAAGTGAATTGACTGTATATTTTGTGGGCGCAACGTGGCAGCCAATTGCGCTCAGCAAACTAAGCAATTTTCCCACAAATATACAGTCTATTCACTTTACAGCATATTCTGTGAAGCGCTTTGAGATGTCTAGAAGACGTGAAAAGCGCTATATCAAATGCAAGGTTTATTATTTATTATTATAGCAGTGTCCCATAAACAGTCGTGGATTGAGTGACCAAAATATTATTGTTTTTTTTTCTTGAAGGATTATTATTAGGCGTGTGGAGTAAGGAAACTTCCCCAAGGTTTCGCCCTGCCGGTAATCAAACCCAGGTCGCTCGCTTGCGAGACGAGTGCTTTAACCACTGATCAAATGATCAAATAAAGTTAATAATAATAATCCTTGCATTTGATATAGCACGTTATTGTCTCTAAGCACTTCACAGGATATACTGTAAAGTATAGTGACTGTGTTTTGTGTTCTTAATAAACAGATTTTTTTAAAAAACGCGTAATGTATGGGAGTTAAAAGTACCCATTTTGTTTTTCTTCTTTTCTTTCAATCTTCTTTTCTTTCAGTGTGATTACATTTTTTAAGGGCCAAAATCATAAACAATATCCTTGTCCAAAGGCTAATCTCAGGAATGCTGCAACATGTCCCATGAAGTGATAGGATGCAGGTCTGCTCCCACAACTCCCCATACAGTGAACTCCAGATTTCAATCAGGGTTCTGTATGCAGTTGCCAAGAGGAGGCTGGAGCTTTTTCACTGGAAAAGAAATGGGATTTATACGTCTAGCACTTTGCTTGAATTGAGATCTTTCTTTTACTTTATGAAAACCTTGAAATCTGTCTCCTTGTGTTTCTTCCCTTCTTTTGCAGGATATCAATCAGCTAACAGTCAACACCCCACATCTGGGCAAGTTGTGAATAGAGGCCCAGTGTCAGTAACTTTGCAAAGGATCATCAGTCAAAGGGAAGTAGGCAACAAATTACACTTAGCCTGTATAACGTGCACTGCTATTTTAAACATTCAACGTAGTAAATCTGAAGAGGGTCATAAGAACTAAACTACAATTCCTTTTTTTTTGGTGGGGGGGGGGTGGAGGGGTGGTAATCAGAGTTTCCCTTGAGATAAAGTGACTCTGAAGTGACATGTTTGACAACAGAATGCCAGAATCAACTCTGTTGTGCCCTTGATTCTTCAGTTCCTGAGCCAGGCAGGTCTGTAAGATTGCCAATGATAATCCAGGCAGCCTGGCTCATCGGCAGGACTTGGAAGGCAAACCGATCACTAGTGGCAGGGATTCTTCCTGCTCAGCTCCTGTTAACCATTCAAGCCAAAGCCCTAAATGGGTAGGATGATGCAAGCTGGAAAAAGCAGCGGGTAGCTTGCCAGTGCTTTCAATGGCAAGCTATGCAGTTTTATTTAGCTCTGGAGTCCCTAAGCCTCAGCTCTTGCCAACCTGTGCCTAATCCTCTCTAGGAATTAGGAACACAGGGTGTGTTCCTCCAAGGAGAGAGTGTATATTTCATTCCAGATATGGGAATTTCCATGTAGGCTTAGATGGCATGCAGGGAACTCTCAATCTGGTTTGGATATTCTTAATCATGGTGCTTTTTCAACAGAAATTACAGACAAAGAGCAGGGAATCATGGAGCAGCATTATGGAGTAATACCAGTCTTACCTCAAATGGATAATCACCTTCTCTTGGTTGAATAATATAGATTCCACGAGGTGTTAACAAAATTTAGCCCTTGGTCTCACCAATATTAGTGCAATCAAGCCCTGAAGCAATTAAAAGCAATAGCACTTACAGTTGTTGTTCCTAATGTATCACAACTTAAAAAGCTGCTAACAACTATTTTCTTTTCCTTCCTGAATTTGCTGAAAGTGTACCAGGGTAATCCTGGAGGCGAAAGGCAATCCCACGCTCCTATTCTCCACCACTAACCGGCTCCTCCGCCCTCCCCAACACGCCTCGCAGATATTTTCCTCCAACTCAACGTCAGCAAGATTGAGACCCTCCTGATTAGCTTACGAGAAAATGCTGGACTTCCTCGAGTCCAAAATCGAGGGAATCCGCTCAGCTGCCACTGCTCTCCCAACTTCCAACCCCTCCCTACCCCCACCCCACACAATTACCCATCTGACAATTACCCATCCCTCCTTCCACACCTTTGAACCTGTCACCTCTGTCTTCAACACGGTAACCTCCATGAAGTCCACCACCTGCTCCCTCGAACCCATCCCCACCCCTCTCCTTAAATCCCAGCTCTACCTCCTTGCCCCACTACTCGCCGATATCATTAACCTCTCCATGTCATCGGGCACTGTTCCTTCCCCCTCAAAGCAGCCACTATCACCCCCACCTTGAAAAAACCTTCCCTCGACCAATCACAGCTATCTAGCTACCGGCGCATCTCAAATCTTCCTTTCCTACCCAAGGTCCTTGA